TTTGCGTTCTGCTTTGACCATAATCCTCACGCTTCTTCTTTGGAATGCTGTCTGATCCCTGTGACTTTATTTAGCTTCTCTTTCCCCCTTCTCAATCCCCCCAATCTCTGGAGGTTTGTTTCTGCGGGAAGTAAAAGATCTGACAGTGCCCCTGCCCATTCAGGATTTCCAACTTTTGATGCCTTCTCCCGAGAGTTTCAAGGATTTTGCCTGATCCTTGTGACATTTGGTTCTGTTTTCCCTTTGGTCTCTCTGTGTTCTCTTTCACACTCTTTATCTCCACAAACCACTTATTTCAGGATCAGCTAAACCTTGAACTAAGAAGAAAATGTGTGGGGAAGAGGGGGAGCCTTAGCTGTCTCAGGCTTTTCTGGACAGAAGGGTGTTTCTGAAGGATGGAGCAAATTGTGAAGAAGTCTCTGTCAGATTACACTTTGTTGACTACTGAGGAGCAACCCCTGGCAGGGATGAACAGGCCTGGAAACTGAATGAGGTCGTGAGAAATTTTGTTGTGGATTATTTAATTGTAGGTTTGTTTTAAAGGGATCACAGAATAGAATGTCTTCCCACCCCTGTCCAGAGCCAAGAGGAATCAGTTTATGTGCCTGTGGCTTTAGTAGAATAGTTTTGGTTGATTCCGTGAGAGCACAGGCCTGGGGTGGGATTGGGGGGTGGAAACTGGGAAGAGGAATGTGAGATAATGGAAAGAGCTTGTACATTTGGAATTAGGACTCCTGGGTTCAGCGTGTGATTTCTTCACTTGACCTCTACAGTGACCTTTGGGGAAAATGGCCCACTCGATAGGCTTCAGTGCAGTAACAGGCTAACAGCTGAATGTGGGTTGGGAGAGAAATTAAATTTGGTTTATTTGTTTACAAAACATCCTAGGTTCATCAGACAAAAGGTATTTATTAGGAGCAGTTTAGTCATCCTGAGAATTTTCCTTTTTCTTGGTTTCTGTTGGCTCTTTCTAGTCTAAGCCACAAGAGTAAGTCAGTTTGAAAGACAAGCTCCAGGCCTGCTTCTTTCATCTACCTTTTTTTCCTACTACATTAAGTTGCTGGCCTCCTGAGCTGTCAGCTTAATCCACCAGTGCAGATTCTCTAGGTAGAAAGTATGTTTGTGGGAAAGCCCTTGGAGGATGCTGGCTGGAAAGGAGAACATGGAGTGATCTGGGACTTTGGAAACCACTTGCTGCCTTGTGTGTATGCCACGTCTCTGTCCTGGCCTGTAAGAGGGAAGAGGGCCTGTGACATCTATTCGTGTTTCGACTCCAGGCCTGTTCTGAAGTATGAAGTAGTCATGCCACCTTGTCCTGCTTCTCCCTTGTCTTCCTCCTCCTTATTAGAGTGCAGGCTCCTCATCATACCCCTTTTTAGGAGCAGTTTGGAAAACACCCCCACCAGAAATCATCCTTCCCCTAGCTTCCCTGCTCCCTTCTCAGAGCTGGGTTCACACTGCATGGAGAGAACATGTTTGCTGAACACCATCCAAAGCGGTAAATTGAGGTTCTGTGATTTGGGAAAGAGGTTTGGGAGGACCCTTTCAATAATTGGCATGGGACAAGAGAGGGCCTAGTCACAGTGCAGTGGAGGCCTCATGGGGGAGGAACAGTTCAGGGAGAGGTGAACATGCAGGTTGCTTCCTTCCCCATCTCTGTTTCAGCAGGGGCTCCCAGAGCTGGCTGGGGCTGTCTGGCTGGAATCTGCTTATACCAGCTTCATGGCCCTGTGCAGAGAGCTCCCAGCCTGATTCAGTATTGATTTCACTGCCCTGAGACCACTGCCCTCCCTGCCCTTCTCCTGGCAGCTTGAGAATGCCCTCTCCCCTGATGCCACCACCCCTGTGGCCTCGGGTAAGCATTTACCTCATGTCTGGTGGGGCTTGAGCCTGCTTGACAGCTTGGCCCTGAGTCTACAAGGAAAAAGGAGTACTCCATCTCCACCTTGACACTGAGGTCAAAGAGAAGATGAGCTGAGGCCTCCTTAAAGAAAGGTTTGTGTTAGACTTCAAGACAGAGGAGGAACTTCTCAACAGAAGAACAAGTAGCCTAAGGTGATAGAGGGTTTCTTTTAAAAAGTAGCCTCTTTTAAAAAATTATTATTAAAGGAATACATGCAGTTGGTAACAAATCCAAGAGTTTATGATGAGAAGGAACAGTCTCTTTCCACTCATCCCTATTCCTGCTCCCTCAGAGTTAACTTCTTTTAATTACCTCAGTGTTTAGTTCTGAAGGTTATGCCATCGCTTTAAATAAACTGCTTATGCCTCTGTTTCTTGATGTATTAATTGTTACAAAAGAGGATTTAGCTTTCATTATTTTTGTTTCTTCTACTGGACACCTGTATAACTTTAAGTAATATATTTTAGCTTCACTTTCTTATCCATTGGAGCCCTGGTGGTGCAGTGGTTAAGAGCTTGGCTGCTAACCAAAAGTTGGCAGTTCAAATCCACCACCACTCCTTGGAAACCCTATGAGGCAGTTCTGCTCTGTTCTGTAGGGTTGCTGTGAGTTGGAGTCTACTCAGTGGCAACTGGTTTGGGTTTTGTGTTTTTTTTTTGTTTGTTTTTTTCTTTTCCATTAACTTAAAAAAAAAGTTTGTTTTGTTTTCTTTTCTGTTTGAACAGTCTCTTAACTACCCATTTTGTAAAATGAACGTATTAGCTCCCTTACACTTTTTCCACCTCACATGATCCATCTCAAAGGGATCTTTAAAAGGAAGAGGAAAATTGAACTCCCCTGCTTACCTGGAGGCAGAGCACTAGATCAGATGATATCTTAAAGGCCATTCTAGGCACATATAAAAACATCGAGATTTGTCTGAAGCGGTTCATATTTGTCTAAACCATGGAGAAAGATTTGAAGAAGGGAATGGTGATTAACTGGGCGAGGGGATTTGGGGCCCTTTACTATCCTGTCCTAGCAGAGGCCAGTCCAGTAAGTCCTTTAATGGAGGCCCGGAGAAGATTGTTTGCCTAGAATCTTTTGCGGCCTTGAGAAGTAGGGAGCCAGGTGAAGTGACAGCATCCCCTCCCTGCAGAGACCTTCTCCACAGACATGTACTTAAATGCTCAGTCACACAAAACACATGCTTATATCCCCTCTGTCCTCTGCAGCTGACCTGTAACAGTCCCCTGATGCTCAGAAAAGGATTCCCTGGATTGCCCAGACATGAACTGTGGAGTCCAGGCAGCTGTCAGCATTCCTTCCACCTCCTCCCTCCTTCCTAGGAGGCAGCTGCTAGGTGGGGGAGATGCTGCAGTTTCCCTTCCAGTCTGACTGGAAGGCCAGTTTAGGCTCCCAGTGCAGGGTGTGGAGCTTCTTTGGGTACAGTTGTCTCAACATCCTTGTTAGATGGTGAATGGAGGCTAATATTAGCCCCGAAGGCCACAGGAGTCGTTCGATATTAAGGCCTTGGATTTTCTTTTCTCAATTTTTCCTTATTCTTCTGACTTACAAGGGGAAGGGTAATAAATATTAGACCTCTTCCCTATTTCTTTGGCTTTCTACTCCATTCACTTTCTTTAGAATGGTTACCCATTAAAGTCATTTTTTCTTTGCCTTTGAAAATGAATGAATTGATGTCAAGGACCATATCTGAATTTAGGTTTTAGAGAAACCCTTTCTTATTTCTTACTGTCTAAATTGACAAAACCCTATTCTCTTCAATATACGCTTTCCCCCATGACTTGCTTCTGATGTAGGCAGTCCCTGAGTCCCAGAGAGGCCAAGAGGGAGGCCCAGCTACAGTTTGGTGGCTTCTAGAGGAGGAACTTGTAGAGAAAGAGTTTAGTTTTCCACACCTCTTGGCATGTCTGCTTCCCTGGAAAGTAAAGGCTGTAAAACGGGGGAGTCTGTTCTGTGGGAAGATCCTCTGAATACTGTGAAAGTGGGTTCCCGGCTGAACCCTGGGAGCTTTTCTTCTTTTGCCTTTGGGATGAAAGAGGTGATGATATTCTTAGCTCCCTTCCTGGTGCCAGTAATAATCCCAGTTGTGATCAGCTAGGGTGACCGTGTTCTGAATTTCCTAGTAAGGTCTGAGATTGTATGTGGGAAATTGTCTAGGTTTCACTTTCCTCGACAGTTTTGAAAAGAGGACTTTCAGGAGGTTTCGGTGACTTGGAAGTCTAAGAAATAGAGGAAGAGGGAAGGATATGTCAAGCATAGAGACTGAGAAAAAAGTCGGTTGTGTAGGACAGTTTTTCTGGTCTGCCATGTGAGTTTCTAAGCAGATCTGAAAGATAGTTGAGTCACAGTGACCGTGTGACCGTGTGGTGCAGAGGGCCCTGCAGAGGTGTGGCAGGGGATGATTAAAGCTTCATTCTTATTCCCATGCAGCCCAGGGATGCAGGTACAGACAGATCCACATGGGCAGCCATGCTGGTTCTGCTGCTCAGAGGGCGTTGGTTAATCTGGGGGAGAGGTTAGTGACAGAGTTGCCACCTTACTGATTCCAAGCTCAACCTGCATCAGGGTAATTAAATTCAGGAATGAACTTCTTGCTCGATAGAGATGGAAGAAGAGAAACTGAAGTATCCCCTTTTTAGTGATCTCTGAGAACAAAAGGGTTCCCTATCTGTCTTTCTGGCAAGTCTTAGGTGGTGACTGGTGAGAGGCAGGGAGCTGGACTATATGATGTTGGGCAGATCAAAGTAGCCTTGCCATGTAACGGTTTCAGAGATGTAAGAAGAGGCACTGGAAGGGTGGTGTTGTAAGGGGGTCTTCCAAGAAATGACAAGTGACTAGAGAATCGATAGCTCCAGACTCGTCCTTCCACCTCCTCAAGGTATAGCACCCAGAGTCACCAGGTCAAAAGGTGAGATGACTGATAGTTGAAAATGACTTTCAGTTCAGCTCCCCAGAGGCCCTTGAGTGTGCCTTAGACTCACTCTATTTGCATGTTTGTAAAGAGGTCTCTGAGACCATGGTCGGCTACAGCCAGGCTCCGGAGCTAAGGTCGATCTGATGTTAACAGTGTCCCTCTCCTAGTCCCTGTCTTAAACCTTCCTCCTGTTTCCTCACTGATTCTCCTGGCCTGGACTTGGCGAGGCTCTGAGGCAGTGTCCTCTCACTGCGTTTCCTCCCGGAGCTCCTCCAGAGAGGGATTCCCACTTACATGATCCTGGTTCCTCCCTGTCCCTTGGAAGTTCTAGACCCGTGAGTCCCAGCCTGGTTTCTTCTCGCCCTCCCCGAGCCCCTCCAGTTCTTCGAGTGTGTGTATGATGAGGAGCAAGTAGTGTTGGGGTAGGTGGGGGCTGGTGGAATGTTTCGGTAGATTCTCAAACAATGAGCGTAACTCTTAATCCACTCCCTTGTGAAACAATACTTATATGTATGTGCACATGCAGGCACACACACAGTATACTAACCTTTTAGGTGATTAGAATTCAGCTAGCATTTATTGAATCCTCCTATGTGGCACAGTGGCTAAAAGCTCGGCTGCTAACCCAAAAGGTCGGCAGTTGGAATCCACCAGGAAACCATATGGGGCAGTTCTGCTCTGTCCTGTAGGGTCACTATGAGTTGGAATCGACTCAGCGGCAACGGGTACTGTGTGCTCTGCCAGGCCCTTCACATGAAGTTGTTTATTCCACATGGCTGCAGTGAGAAGTAGGTATTTTGCAGCTGAGGACACGGAAACTGGAAAGATAAGTGGCTTACGTAAGTTCACACATCTCATGGTGCGGAGCTGGCCCCCCAGCCTGTCTGACTCAGTCCAGGGCCCTTTCCACTGGAGTAGAGGGTTATGATGTCATGAAGACAGATGAGCAGAGAAGTGCCACAACTTCAGCAGGGTTGGTGATGGGTGTTTTAGAGCAGTTTTTTCTAAATGAAGCCTGGCATGGTGTTTGCTGGCCCTTATTCCCTGGGAGCTTGACATCTGAAAGGGAAGGTAAGAACGTTATCTGTAACTCGGAAAAATGCATCAAGATTTCAATAGGAAATAAAGGTGAGATGGGCAGGGCCTGTGTGTAGGGTGTTATAGGAGTAAGGAAATAACAGCTTAGAGGGGAAGGGAAAAAGGTGATGGCAGGCGTTTAAAGGGAGACGTGGAAAGGGCAAGACTACAGAAAAGTATTTGAAGACTTAGGCACGAGGGAATAAGACCAGAATGTCTCCACAGTCTACCTGAAGAATTTGTAAATCTATGTAAGTGTAATATACATAAAGCAACATTTTGCAAATACAGGTTAAGAACAGAGGCTAAGCTGGATAGCTGAGTACAGAAGGAATGAAGAGTAATGCAGCGATGAGAAGTGGAGGTAGCCAGGGAGTGCTTCCTGGGAAGCGGTAACTTTTCACCTGATTTTAAGGAGTCCAGGAAGACCGAAGGAGAGGCGATGCCTGGGAGGGCTTCACAGAGGAGGAGGAGCCTGAGGATGGCCCCACTAACCAGTGTGTGTATGTGTCTCCCTTTCTTTTCCTTTTTCCCTCCTTCCTCCTGTAGCTTAGAAGCTCGAAGTCTGGCTGTGGCCATGGGAGACACAGTAGTGGAGCCCGCCCCTCTGAAGCCAACTTCTGAGCCCACTCCTAGCCCACCAGGGAATAATGGGGGCTCCTTGCTAAGTGTCATCACGGAGGGGGTCGGGGAACTCTCAGTGATTGACCCTGAGGTGGCCCAGAAGGCCTGCCAGGAGGTGCTGGAGAAAGTGAAGCTTTTGCACGGAGGTGTGGCCATCTGTAGCAGAGGCACCCCGCTGGAGTTGGTCAATGGGGATGGTGTGGACAGTAAGATCCGTTGCCTAGATGATCCATCTACCCAGATAAGGGAAGAGGAAGATGAGATGGGGACGACTGTGGCCTCGGGCACAGCCAAGGGATCAAGAAGGCGGCGGCAGAACAACTCGGCCAAACAGTCTTGGCTGCTGAGGCTGTTTGAGTCAAAACTGTTTGACATCTCCATGGCCATCTCGTACCTGTATAACTCTAAGGAGCCCGGAGTGCAGGCCTACATCGGCAACCGGCTCTTCTGCTTCCGCAATGAGGACGTGGACTTTTACCTGCCGCAGTTACTTAACATGTACATCCACATGGATGAGGACGTGGGTGATGCCATCAAGCCCTACATCGTCCACCGCTGCCGCCAGAGCATTAACTTTTCCCTCCAGTGCGCCCTGCTGCTCGGGGCGTACTCTTCAGACATGCACATCTCCACCCAGCGACACTCCCGCGGGACCAAGCTACGGAAGCTGATCCTCTCCGATGAGCTGAAGCCAGCTCACCGGAAGAGGGAGCTGCCCTCCCTGAGCCCAGCCCCCGACACAGGGCTGTCCCCTTCTAAAAGGACTCACCAGCGCTCCAAGTCAGATGCCACCGCCAGCATAAGTCTCAGCAGCAACCTGAAACGAACAGCCAGCAACCCAAAAGTGGAGAATGAGGATGAGGTAAAATCCTGGGGAGGGACCAAGGGACAAGGTGGCAGAGGGCTGCATGGAGACAGGATGGCTGACATGGGGTTGCTGTGTCCTTTTCTCTCCTTCCCTCTGTTTCATTTCACCGTGATAAAAGCAGGGAAAGTTACGATGGAAAAAGACCTTAGAGTACAGAGGAAGAACTCGGAGGCCCAGAGAGATAGAGTGACTTGCCTCAGGTCACATAGCTAGTTAACGGCAAGCCTGAGCCTCCAGACTGCTCGTTCCATTAACTGCTGGCTTCCTAAGAACTGGGGCAGAGACCCCCTCTGCCCTAACCTGAGACCGCTCAGAGCAGCAGCTGTGGTGGAGGAAAAGGGACTGTGGTCTGTGTGTGTGAATTGTGTGTGTGCTGGACTGGGGGGATGTTAAATGGGACATCGGCTTCAGTCTCCTGGCTGCTTCTCCTCATAACCCCTTTCCCCCACGCCCTGAAGACCCTGCGTTTTGTTGACAGTAGGGGAGAGTTCATTCCCTGTCACTGAGGTTATCTGCAGAATGCCCTCCTGCCTGTCTTTCCTTGGGGAAGGGGTGTCTTGCTGGTATCTTTCCCATATCATCTGGAAGAAGCCAAAAGGGAAGGGAGAAGCAGTCTTGTTAGAGAGGAAGTCGTGCCTGGTCAAGGACCTGGAGGCTGGGAAGAAGAGGAAGCTGCAGCAGCCGTTGGGGGGTGTCCAGCTGAGAGTGCAGAGCAGGGAGGAGATGAGCACGTCAGTAGCTGGCATCCACCCTCGGCTTCACATCTGGACAGATAGGAGAAGTTGCCCAGGGGACAACCAAGTGTTAGTGACCTGGTGTGCTAGGCAGACAGTGGTGGCCCAGTCCTCCCCTCTGACTCACCACTGGCAGGCTCTCATCCTGACTGCCGGCCTAGGAAGGAGGGGAGAAATCTCACATAGCCATGGCCCTGGCATCTGCCTCTGTGGGCACATACCCCACCCACAGTCCTGCTACAATGGGGCTCCTTTCAACTAGGGGGAGGTCAGAGTGACTGGGGAAGGGAAACTGCAGAGCCTGCTCTTTCTGGCGACTCGGTATTTTATCAGGATAATTTGGTCCAGTAGTTGGCCTAGAGTGAGAATAGCAGCAGAGCTAACATTTATTGAAGGTGCTTATTGTATGCTAGATGTTGTGCTGGTTACTTTACATTTATTCTTCACAGTAACCCTGTGAGATGGGTGTTATTTTACCAGTGAGAGCCTTAGAGAGGTAGACGACTTGCCTACGGTCTCTCAACTGCCGTTCAGAGTGGCCACCTTGTTGGGTTCTCCACATCCACGTCCCCGGGCCCCCTTGCTCGGTTTTCCTGGGCCCTGGCTGTAAGAGGCCATTAGTGAGAATTCCCCTAGGGCCTTGGCCACGTCGGCTTCCGCATCCGTGCATAGGCAGACCCAAGCTGTTCTCAGAACCAGAAGGGACCCTTTTCATTTCTGGTTGAGCTTGGCAGTGGAACCCAAGGTCGTGAAGGGAGGTGGTTTCTGAACAGAGGGGATGGCACTGATGTCATGAAGGCTTTGGGAGCTGCCACCTCTTGGGCCCAAGCCGCTAGCAGTGGGAGTACGAGCAGCTGGGCGCCCCTTGTCAGGCTGGCTTTTCTCCGTATCCATTCTGTGGTTCTCATCTCGGCCCGAAAAGCTGAGCCGTCAGGGCTTTTCTTACTCCGTGATGGTCCTTGGACCCTCTTTCTTGCGTCTAAGTCTTGCTCCAGAATGAGACTGTGGAGGGCACGGAGAAGCAGGTATTCTGTGAGTGCTTAGATCCCCTAAGATGGGTTCCCCGGCTGCTGGTTTTTCCAGCCTGACTCTTCGTCTCGGCTCTCTGAATCCAGGAAGGGAGGGCGATACCGTCCCCAGGCACTTAGGTTATCTGATGCTGGCAGAATGAGACACCTGAATCCGCTCTGGCGCCTCAGGAAATGGGATCAAGTCAGGGAGAGAAGAAACAGGAATCTAAACATTTCTTCAGCACAGGAGCATTTTGAGGATACATCTGTCAGGGCCCCCACAGTCCCCAAAATACCAGGAGGATTGGTTTTCCTTGTGCTCCTCCTCCTCCCCTAGCGTACGGCCTTCCTTCATTCAGCGGGTAGTTACTGAGCCTGTACGTGTGCAGAGCCCTGCCCCAGAGGTAGTGAGGCAGGGAAAGGTCAATGAAGCACTTCCCTGCCCTCCGGGAACTTACAAGGGAATATGGAAGCCCTGTTGTCCAGGGAACTGTTTTCTATGTGACACTCTTGAAAAGCTGTTTTCTGCCCACAAGCAGGACACTTACAGCTTACGAAAACAAAGCACACAATTTTCCAAGGCCCGAACAGAGACACTAGAAGGAGAATATCTAGGTAGGCCTGACACTGCTTTCCTCTTGGGTTCCCAGTTTAATTGTATGCTCCTACCGCGAGAAGAGGAGGCCCGGGAGGGTGAAGAGAGACTTCAGGGAAGTGGCCCGGGAGTGTGTGTACAGCTGTCTTCCTGCCTGGAGCCTCCGTGCTCAGCTCCTCTCTTCCCACATCTCACAGAAGGTTCCATCTTCTTTCAGGAGGAATTCTTTACATGCTCCCGACAGGGGCTCTAGCATTGATTATTGCATCTCCCACCAGTTTGCCTTCGAAGCAGTTTTCTGTCAGCCCAGCCAGGCACTCAGCTCAGGCAGTTTTCCTCCCACTTGTAACCGAATGCTCAATATTCTGGCATGGGGTGGAGCGCAGAGAAGGATCTCGGTACCACCCCACTCCACGTAATGACTCTTAGTAGATGAGCTTTGTCTTTTCAGGACTGCAACCTTTGTACCGAGAAGTCTGCTGCTCAGGTCACACTGAAAGCCTCAGTGGGCCTTCTAGCCCCGGATGATGTGATGTCAGCCTCTTGGACTCAGCTCTGCCCTCTGGAGCTGACTCAGTCTCAGTGGCTGGAGCCCAGGAGTAGGAGGAGAGGGGCAGGTCATGATAAACCTGCCTTCCCTCCAGGCTGTGAGTGAGTCAGACAGTGGACCTGTCTGGGAGAATCAGCCACAGTGTTGCTCATGGAGCCCCTGTCCTGCCTGCTGTTCTTTGCCCAGCCAGCTCATGGGGAACCACCATGTCACACTAGACCCTGGAGTCCTCGCTGCCACCGTTCTCCCTCCCACCCCTACCCCAGGTGGAAGAGTTGTTGCCTTGGGGAGTGTCTCTAAGCTTGACCTTTCCCTCTCCCATGTTCTTCAAGGAAGGGCCTGACTGGGAACCTCTAGATAGAACTTAAACCATGGACTTGAATTAAGTAGATGCTGAAGTGCTGATTGCAGAGTAGAAGCTCAGTGAGCGACGACGCCCTCCTGTCCTGGGAGCTCCCAGGACTTTGACTCCTAAGTGCAGTCCCCTCCCCTCTGGCGGGTTTGTGCGCACACGTGGCCCTACTCGCCCTACTCCCTGCCCGGGTAGACAGAGCCCAGGGGCTGCACAGAGCTGCCGACTGAAACTTTGCCCATGGCCCCTTTCTTCTGTTTTGCTCATGGACATCCACCGTAAGGCCCAGGGGAGGGGTGGTAGTTAGGTAAAGCCCCTGGGCTGGAACTAGGACAGTGGCTGCCCCGCTCTTCAGCCTTCTCAACAGATGGCATTAGGACCTGGCTCCCCACCTTATGTCAGAAGGCTGTTGTTTATTGAGTGTGTGTGACACGACCTGACAAGGAAGCCTACAGAGAACCTAGTAGATGTGACATTTGTTCATCCTTTGCTCCCACCAGCACCCAGCCCAGAGGTGTCAGGGTCATGGGTCTGGGGTGCCCTTTGTCACACAGGTTCAAGGCTGAGATGAGGCTTCCCTGGTGATAAAGAGACCGGTCGGAGAGGGGGTATACCTGGCACTGAGAGGTTAGCTCTTCTGCTTTCTCCCTGAGGTTTCCCGGAAGCTGGAGGAGCACGGAGTTTTCAGAATGGGGCCCGTGCAGCTGGTTAAACTCAGCCGTCTGGGGTGGTCCCCGTGGAGAAGGGTGTGGTGAGAGCATGTGAGTGCGTGAGAGCAGGGAAGCTGGCAGGGCAGAGCTGCTCCCCTAACTGGGGACCCAGCTTTAGGGCTGTCCGAGAAGCAGAAGGGAATGAAGGGAAGAGCGGAGGTAGCTCAGTCTCTTCCCCATCTTGACCTGCTCAGGGCCTCAGCTGGCCTTTTGGCGGTCCCCCACAGGTGTTGGGAATCGGGGCAAGTGGTGCTGTGGGCCGACGTTCTTTGATTAAAGCAGGAGGGTAGAGCTCCCCGAGGAGCAGTTATGAGCCAAGTTGGAGCTAAATTCTCTGCCTTTGTCTCTCTCCCCTCCTCCCCGCCCTCCTCCTCCCTTGTCTCCCGGTCCTTTCCCAGGAGCTCTCTTCCAGCACCGAGAGTATTGATAACTCATTCAGTTCCGTAAGTGGGGCCAGGCTGGGACTGGGTGGCAGGCTCCCCCCATGGCCGCATTTCCTCTCCGTCCCCAGGTCCTCTGAGCCCCCAGGCCAAGGCTACAGTTAAAAGGCCTCTCTTCTTCCTGGGAGACCAGGCCCGGAGGAGTCCTCCTGCCCCTGGCTGCCACGCACCGAGCACAGTGGGCTCAGTGGATCCTTGTCTCGGAAACAGCTGTTATGCAGTGACAGTCAGCCCCCGGCTCCTGGTCTCTGGAGCAGACAGCTGGGAGAGAGGTGGAATGTACGCCTGGATTGGAGCAAGGAACTGCTTGGCAGAAACCCAGGATCCTGTTTCTCCCACCCAGAACCCTTTGCCCACGGTTTCTGCCGTAAGGCCACCATCAGATACTGATCCCGTGTCTTCTAAACCCTAGGCCTGTGCTGAGTGAGCTGACCACAAATGAAAACAGCACTTGGCCTGAAGGAAAGTCTGACCTCCCCACAGCCAGTTTGCTTTTGTAACTTCAACCCCATTTCTTCCAGGTCTGACTTCTTCCCTTTTCCCAGCTCACTGCCCAGGAGCCTCCTCCATCCCTGTTTTCCTTTCTTGCTCCCTCTGGATGACCTCTAGACTAACCCCTGACCCTCTGGTCCCACAGGGTCTCGGACCTTGTTGCTGGGCAGAGACGTGAGAGGAAATGCTGGACCCTCTGGGAGTTTGGATGACTTTTTACGTTTTATTTTTTTATTTGTCTGCCTAATCAGTTTTCTCTGTTCTGTGCTGATCCCCTTTCGATCGTGATTCCTATCTCCTCCCATGTGGCAGAGCCTCTCTCAAGGCCTGGGGTCACATTTCCAACGTGCTCAAGTAATTTGGGAGTCCCTGACCCAAATGCTGATTTGGAGATGGGAGGAAGGGGTCTACCTTTTCTCATCTGAAATGACTATGAATTGGTTGTGGGGGAGAGTCCTTGGGACAGTGACCACTTGCCACCTGAGTGGATGGATTAGGGGATCAGGAGGAAGGAAGGAGTAAGTTTCTAGATTTCCTCTTCCTTTCTTTCTCTTTCTCCATTAGGCCCCCTGGGGTATTTCCAGGGGCCACAGAAGCCTCATTCTATTGTCCCCCTTTCTTTGTCTCTTTTCAATCCTGTCCCCCAAAGCATTCCTGACTGATTCAGACACCCTATTTCATTACTTGTGTGGGGCTCTGAGCCAGCCCCCCTGTGGGATAGAGGCTGAGGGATGAACTGCTCCTCTGGACGCTGGTTCTGTTGCACATGCAGAGGTGGGCCCAGTACTGCCCAGCTTTCAGAAGAAGTTCTTCTTTGCAATGTGAGGGAATGAGGGTAGAAATTCTCAGTCAGGAAACTAAGCAAGACCCACAGAAAGGGAGAGAGAAGCTGGTGAATGAAATGCGTTTTTATAAGAGGAAGCAATTGCTCTTGTCTAGCTGAGGGGAGATGGGATGGAGATTGGGTAGCTGTCTTGATAAATGCCCCTTATGGTGGAAGGACTTACACCGGGAAAAGAGCCCTTCATGTCGAGCCGAGGCCGTCTGTTTCCCCACCCCCCTTATTCCCCAGACTGACTCTGCCCTGACGGGGCATGACTGGAGTGCCCGGCATGAGGAGCTACGCTCACAGCAGGAACTAGGAAGGGGAGCTTAGTCCTTGAGAGGTTGGGGAAGAGGACCCAGGGAGGAATCCCAGGAGAAGGCCTTCCGGGCCATCAGCCAGCGCTAAAAGGGGCCGTGACTTTCTCCATCCACCTCCCCACACCTCCCTCCCTCCATCTGCTGTGTTTTTCCTTGTTGATTGTCCCCTGGTTGATGCAAAGTCTGGTCAGCCTCTTCTCATCCCCTGCATGCACACTGATCCTTCGGGGTGGGCAGGGGAATGCAGCCATGAAAAGCACCAAAGTCATTTGAATGAAGAGTTTTCCTTCTTGGAGAGGAGAAGTATTGACTTGGAGCTCCCATCTCCAGCCTTGTGGGCCCTGGTAGAGCCCCTTGGCAGAGATCCAGCCCGAGGATCCAAACGGAGAGGGCCGACCCTGTTCTTGAGATGGGTGAAGCTCTTCCGGTGTAAGCAGCTCTTCTCTCTGGGGCACTGACTGACCTCTCTGGATGCTGTTCCCTGCCCACCCTGAAGCCTTGGGACAGCTCCTGAGACACTCCAGTCTAAGAAAAGAGGGGTGCCTCCTCGTGCCTTAGCACAGTTGGATTCATGGCCCCCTTACCTTACCCTCAAAGAATAGCCTGTTCTATCTGTTCCTGACTTGAGCTGATGGTTGGGATGAGATCTACCAGGGCCAAAAGGTAGCTCCTTCCCTGGAGGTCTCCAGACACGGGGATACCTGGCCCTCCTGGCCAGGAGTGACTGAGTGGGTGGACCATTTCTTCCTACTGTTTCTTCACCTTTGTCTGTTTTACCTCAACCTTCTGTAGCCCATCAGACTGGCTCCTGAGCGAGAGTTCATCAAGTCCCTGATGGCAATCGGCAAGCGGCTGGCCACACTCCCCACCAAGGAGCAGAAGACACAGCGGCTGATCTCAGAGCTCTCCCTGCTCAACCATAAGCTCCCTGCCCGAGTCTGGCTGCCCACTGCAGGCTTTGACCACCACGTGGTCCGTGTGCCCCACACCCAGGCTGTTGTCCTCAACTCCAAGGACAAGGTAGGTGGACTCTGAGCAGAACCCTTCCCCTGACCTGACTGTACTCCCCCAATCATCCAGCCTTCGTGTATATGCCCAGCGATGCCTCCACCAACATCCTGGGCTGCTGAGGGCTTCTCAGTTCCTGGTGCCTTTGTCGACCTTGGCTTTACCGCAGTGTTGTTGGGATCGAGGACCCACCTGACCCCTTCTTGGGCGTTGGTTTTCTGGACCAAAGAAGCCTAGGCTTTGCAGTTCACCTCTCGCCATATCTAGACAGAGTCACCCTCCAGCCCTTCTCTAGGGGCACTGGGACGCTCTCCCAGCCCTTCTCTACGGGCGCTGGGACGTTCTCCCCAGCCCTCCTTTATGGGCACTGGGACGCTCTCCCAGCCGTTCTCTACGGGCACTGGGACGCTCTCCCCAGCCCTTCTCTACGGGCACTGGGACGCTCTCCCCAGCCCTTCTCTA